TTAAAATATAATAGGACATTGATTGTAACTATATAATATATATAATTGAATTAGAACATTCTAAATTAGAATATTCTAATATCTGAATATTGGAATATTTGAATTAGAATATAATATTTTGAAAAGATAGGATTTATATAGATATTTATATAAAAAGGTGCATGTATAATAATGTAATAATTATCAAAATGCAGTAAGATTGTGATACGCATTTAAGAAAAATCGCAATAATTAAAGTGTCGGCATTAATCAAAGTTGCGAAGATTAAAGTTATCCGAGGCAAGTTTAAAATTTACTGAAAGAGCTTGCTAATACTTTTAATACAACGAGATTTGCAAAGGCAAAAGTTCGCAAAAGCGGAAATACGGCCACGCCACGGGATGGAATACGGGACGCTCTTAATTATTCCGTTCGAGGCAACGCGTTACGCCGTATTAAGCTTTCAAAATTCGGCCAGATACACCTTTTCGAAACGACGCGCATTAAAATACACGACCGGTTGACAGAGAGAAATAGAAATGATCCGATTTAGAAGAGTAAAAAAGGAAAGCATTATGTTCGCCGGCGTGCGGGGCGTTAGGTAAAAACTCATCCGGTCGGTATCTGCACTTCAACCACATCCTGCGGCCATTTGCATCTCATTCGGGACGTTATATCACTTTCATTAACGAAGTGAAATAGTAGATTTCCGGGTTCACGCGTTGTGAACGCAAATTTCGTGCAAATGTGCGCACCGCGCACTGCGCGATAAAAACTTGGGTGATGTGCCGTTGTGCGAAGTTTTCGGCCTGTTCGCATTACCGTGGCGCAAAATCGACGGGGATGGAAATTGCAAATTGAGGTTGAAAGAAAGGCGGAAAGATACGTATTTTGCGCGTGATAACTTCCGCTGTAACGAATAAAATCGAATTCTATTTTAGGAAACAAGATATTTCCTTCAACATAAAGATACAGATATAAGTGATGCAAAGAATAACTAGTGATACATTTATAATTATCTGTATTGCTCAATAGTTATTTTTGTATATCGTTTCCGGCAAGATCACAGTCGAATAAACATTTTATTCTGATTGACAGAAAACCTTTAATTATTTTTTTTTGTACTGATTTATTAACGTAAAATGTGACACTTCTTTAACGATTTCTTGATTCATTTAAATAACCTTTTCTTCATGAATTGTAATATCTTTTTTCATTTACATATATCTAATTAATATTAAAATCGAAAATTTTAATTTTTTTGAGTCTTTAAAAGTAAATAAAGGAAAGGTTTTATTTAAGAAATTCTTTCTTCGCATCTTCAATTATATAAAAATTTTTATCTTCATAATATTTAAATAAGAAAAATAAATTCCAATAATGTCAAAAGAATTTTCATACAAATTTCGATTTACTAAAACTTTAGTTTCTTTTGCGGAAAATATTCCAACGTCGAAATGTGTTAAGTGTTGGAAACTTTAAACGATAAAACTTTTCTTAAGTCAATTTTTTCAATCATGTCTCTACTGCCTGAACCGCCTAAGATCGTAGGTTGTCTCGCGAATATTACCGTTTAAAAAAAAAATTGGCACGAATTGACGGTGAGTCGTGTAATGAGGATGGTGTATCGGCACTCGCGACAAGTAATCGAATGAGAATCACGGTGGCCGATAGAAACATTATTGACGCCGTCAGAGCCGATGAGAATTAGGTTTAAGACGTTTTCACGAAGGAGAACTCTCTTTAGCGAGAGGAACGGAATCGCGAGGATTCTCAAGATCCTATGGTCCCTGGGGACGTCCCTGTTCTCAGTGGGGACAGGATCGAACGACGGATAATATTTGAGTTTTCGAAGGCCATCAAGCGCGAACGCGAGGGAGACAAGGCCGAAGGTCGTGGGTTAAGTAAGTGGTTAAGAGGATGGTGCCGTGCTGCTGGGGTAATGGAATAAAAACACTCGACACGCACACACACACACATACACACACACACACACACACACACACATACACACACCGATGTCACCACCTTCGACCCAAGGGGGTCGAGTAAGGGGAGAGGCAAAAGGGTGAACGTCTTGTCGCTCTCTTTTTCCTCGGACCCGACGAAAGGAGGAGGACGCGCGCCACGAGAGTTTCGTCGAAAAACACTTGTATTTCAAGTCTTCGAGAAACGTGGCGCGAAAATATTTTAGGATTAGAGTTGGAATATTCTTCATTAATATCGCGATGGCTTATGATTTCTCTATTGTTCCGCTATCAAAATATTGCTGTCAGACAGGCGGTTTTTTCAAATACCTGAAGTCCACTTCAGAGCATACTCTAACAATATCGAAATATTTTACAATACTTAAAATATTAAATATTTTATACCTGTCGTATGAATTTTGTTTGCAAATGTTAAATATTTTAGTCAACTATTCAATTAGTTAGCAAGAAGAGATAGCGAAGATTGTTACAATAAAAAATTATTAAATAATTGTATTATCTATTTTAACTGTTTTAATATAATAATAAAATTTTTCATATTATAATAAAACGGTAAATTAGACAATGCAATTTACATCTTAAGAAACATACATTAATTTTTCTGAAATGCATTATTTTTTTTTTGCATTCTTGCGAGAAAACTTTTCTCACAGTTTAATAATTATTCTATCATCTTTAAAACATATATTCTTCTAGTAGATTCTGGGACAAATATAGTTGACTGTCGTCACAAACTAGAGAATTAATGTCGCATGTACTTGGATCGAATTATGCGTTTAAATGGAGGAAATTTGAAATTTCCTGATATTAAGGGGCACCCATCGGTATCTGCTCAATAGACAAAGTTGATTATGATCGCGTTTCAACGTAAATTGAACAGACGAGATCAGGCCGGAAATTTTCGTTAATGGTGCCGATGTGATACATGCGTAAAGAGCTCTCTGCATGCATGCACCTGTAGTCTCTTTTTGCGCACGTATGACTGCTTTGGACGTAATATGTACGTCTGGGATCGCAATTAGTTTGTAGGATCACACGTTGTCCTTGATGGAAATTCATTACTAATGCTGCTAATGACGTTTGTCTTGTGCATGTGTAGGACACGAAATAATAATAATGGAATATACAGGAATATAAAAACAGTACAGTTGCCTGTTTTTTGATGAATAATACAAGATTTTTTATATCATATTGTTTTATATTTTTCCATTATTTTATTTTAAAAAAATAAAATGATGTAAAAAATCTTGTAATATTCGTCAAAAAGCAGGCTGTAACTATACTGTTTTCATATTTCTGTATATTCAATTATTATTACTTCATATCCTAGACATGCACGAGAAAATAGAAATTATTTGGAAATGGTAAAAGGTTGTACAATCGGAGCGATAAAGAACCTTAATATGTATTTACTAGTTACGACCGAAAGTACAAAGTCAGTGCGAATGCAAAGTTTTAATAACGCGAAACTCCAAAGGGAGGACTATAAACTGTAGGACATTCCCCTTTCATTATTCTGGGGCAATCCCCTTGGAACTGCGAAAACGTATTTAGCGACACGAAAAATTTTACGAGTTAAAAATTTATTTCAAACTCACATATGAGTTCTTTCATTTCTTTATTGAATTATTTTATTTTCATATTGAATTATGTAAGAAAGTTTTGTACAGAATTGCCAAATCCATTTATTCAATATTATCAAAACAGCAAAAATATATTTGGTTAAATGTATCTTTTACTTTTAAACATTTTTAAAGTAAGAATTCCTCTTTTACGAACAAATTTTGCCAGTGTGCGGAAAAACTAGTAAAACATTGAAGAGCGGAACAATTTATTTTTATGGAAATATGCGCCTGCATAAAAGATTTTCATAACACATGTCCTCGCGAAAAGTATATTCATTTGCAAAGTCCAGAGGTTTCACGCGTGGCCTATCATGCGAAAATTAATTGGGTGTGGATGTGTATTTGCTGAGTGTGAAATTTTTATTCGTCCGACGCGTCCGCAATCAAATCGTTCATGCAATGAATATCGCATAAATTTAATTTCGTATTGCATTATCTTGTTACGCGAATAGGATTTGATCGTATGAAAAGCGGTGGCATTTGATTTCAATATTAAATGCGTTTTCGATATCCCGCGTCTTTAATTATTAAATTTATGCGAGAAACTGTAATAGCACCGGCGAGAACAAAAGGAAGGTGCGAGTGGAGAATAACAAGAGAGAGGTGCCATTAAAAATGCTGAATAAACATGAAGGCGCCGAGGAATTCTTTGCCATGGACATAGTATAACCGTACACGCATTAGTATAAATGACGCGTAATTTGCGAACAGTGTCATTCTTTTGAGATTATTGTAGCTTCTGAATAAATTATATTATCGACTTACTCGTATTTAATATTCCTTCGATAAATTATTTCAATTTAATATTTATTTCACGGTGAATTTTTCGTAATAAAAAAACTATTAATTCATGCTTTCTTGAATTATTTCATGTTTGAAAGTAATGAAAAGTTTTCTTTTATACAAAAATAAAATAAAAATATTTGACTAAATTTTAACTCGCCTTATTGAAAAAGTCTGACTTAGTCCTTTTTTACTACTATTGCTAGTCTGACTTTGTTTGTCTTTTTCTACTTCTGTTGCTATAGAATGGCTGACTCTGTTTGCCTTTTTTTACTTTTTCTGCTAGTGCGTTAATCAGAGTTCATTAATTCTTAATTAACTTCATAGAAAAAGTTTTTAAGTACTTTTCGTTAAGTAAGATGTTAATAAGAGTTAGAAATCTTATATGTTTTGACTAATGAGGGGTATAATTCTTATTAACGGCACATTTCCACTGAAAATAAAGATTTCTTTTTTAAACAAAGTTATCGATATTTTAACTATATCGTTAACACTCCCGGGTTTCAACTTGTTCACCAGCTCTCTAGCGACCACGACGAGTCTCCTTGGCGTCGCGGTCGACTTAAGACGATGCTGCCGGCATCCACCGGGGATCAAACCCTTGGCACGCTCACAAGGTGGGGATTTGGCGTTCCACGTGGAGGCGGAGCGACGTCGCGCGTCGGGATGCCGAACCGATGAGGGGGCGTCCAACCCCCGAGATGCCTGGTGGGGAGCCATGGCAAACGCAGTCCCCGACGGATCACCGAGACGGTGCAACGCGTTCCGCTGGCTCCGTTCGGTACGGACGAGTCCTTTGCCACGTGACTGTCATCAGAAATCGCACTGACTCGAAGACGATCGATTGGATTTCCGTGACGAACGGAGGAGATTCGGAGGAGAGTTTTTCAGTCTTAAGACACTTTCACAGGAAATCCTTCCGGTTGACCTCGGAAATCAGAATCTTATGAGAAAACGAGGATAGGATCACATGACTATGACGGGACAAGGTGAAAGGACTGTTGAGTCCGCGAGATCGGTCGCGAGGTTCTAAAGTGTATCATAAAGAATTCGTAACTGGCGTTTGCGCGATTGTTTCGTAGTTGGACACGTGATTCTCGCAGGGGTGGCGCACCCCCCAAGGTCGTCGTGAATGGTGCTGAAAGGTGATGAACGTGTTTTCCTAAGACCGTTACGGGCGGTTCGTGATGTTTAGCCGCTACGGGAGATTTTAAGTGTACGGATTATTGGGGTTAGACTGCGTCCTGATAAGGTAAGTCCTTCATTTAGAGGCTAACGATTTATTGCTTTCGTTTATACTTTCTAGAATGCTTTTAATCTTTCGCAGTTTATCAATCTGGGAAATTATTATAAATCGATAAACGGCTTGTGAATCATACAACCTTTTTTATTTATCAGATAACAATATTGTTTTTGTTTTTAAATATTGCATACTTTTATATATAGAATTATTTTAATTATTTTACGAAATATTTTTAAATTATCGTTATTTTTTTATAATAATAAAATTATAAATTCTTTGATAAAATAGAAATAATTTTCATTTACCTACAAGTTAAATAGATGTAATGTTTTGATGTTTATAATGTTGATTGATATGGCATCAAGATTGCATCAAGAATTCTCACTAAAAAAACAAGTTTTGTTGAAAATAAATTAGAAAAGGAAATTTTTTTTTCTTATATATAGCTTAAATTTTAAAACCGTTTGTCATTTCAAATTAAATGTTATTTTTGATTTATTTGCTATTTGCTTACAATAAAATTCAAACTGATCGATCAATTCATTACGTTCGACTAAAATAAAATCTAAATTCATTCAATTAAAATCCGTAAATAAATAATAACAATTTTGCAGCAATCATATAACAAAAAGCTGTTATTGTTATCAATATTGTTAATCCGTGTAAATTTGTGACAAAGTTATATGATAAATCAGAAGTTTACATTGCAATAAAAATGATAAACATTAATTATAATTATTCATAGATATACTTTCTTAAACGAACGCACTTATAGAGGAGGCAAAAAATTTCTGCCATTCAATTTTTTTGTATGACTCTCGTAGATGAATATAACATATCTAAATGCGGCATTCAACTACGGAATTAATTCTTCACAGAGCTTGCGACGATGCAACGAGGTAGATCGACGTGGTGCCGTCTCAAAGCGATCTATGAACAATTATCCGCTACGTTTTTTAAAACGGGAACCTTGCCGCGAGCTCCTCCTTTTTCTCTCCCGTAGCGCTTTTATGCTTGCGATATTCATGGCCCGCGGCGAGAGATCGTAAAATGTGACTGTTTCGCAGATATACCTGTCTCCGCTGTTTCGTTCCTTCGCTTGAAAACGATGGAAATAGCGACGGTTTGCGCAATATCGTTTATTCCTGCTTTTGCTTTCCGCTTTTCCGAGACACGTTCTCATGAAAATATCGTTGGTTTATTGAAAAACGGATGGATTTTGTGATGTGGCGTTAATTAGTAACATGAATCGCAGCTTTATATCCTACCTTTTTATCAACAACTTAATCGTTGCTGAACATTTAATTCGAATTGCTTGGAGTAGCACGTCTTGAGATACAATTATAGAATTTTGCGAGAGTTTGATATTATATTTTTTGTTAAATAATAAAAGCGATATCAAAATTTCTGAGCAAGAGATGATATCAAAATTTGTGAAAAAGATATTATCAAAATTCTGAAGAACAAAAGGTATATCAGAAAGCATTTTATATATATATATATATATGTATAAAATGCTAAAGAACAAAAGCTTATAATTATTAAAACAAAAATTAAGAGATTTTCATTAAAGTGATTTTTTAAATTAATAATTGCCAATTAAAAAGGAAGTAAAGGTAATGTCTAAATGAGAAACAGATTTTTCAGTTATAATGTTAATGCAAATTCTTTTTTTTTGCCGTTATTATATTAATTAATTAAATTCTAATTATCCTCCTATAACAAGATTTCATAGCGGTAAAAGGATAGAGGCGCATAAATTATAATAAAATATTTGATAAATGTTTTATATATTTTTAAAGAATAGATAGATCTTTTAAATCAGTTTAAAATGAGATAATAGATATAGTAAAGACTTAACAAGTTCGAATTACACGCAGGAAGTTTAATTACTTTTAAATAAGCGCGGGCAGTATATCTTCCTAACGATTCTCCTCCTCATATTTTCCCATGGCGCAACACGCGAAATAGAATGAGAAAGATAATCGTTCAAGTTATCCTGCCACGAGATTCGCATTTTCCAATAATTGTGGTGTAGTCTGCCAAGCCATTTATCATTTTAAATATTAATTCGTTGTTTTTTGCGTGAGAAATGCTTTCTTTTTGATTGATCCCGCCCACTAAACTATCAGTACCGCGCTGTTGAATTTTTGTTGAACGAAAAACATCCTTGTTTTTCCTACTTCTTTTCTTCCATGCGAATTAGCAATAATGAACATAATTCCTTGCTTTTGTTACGACTTCTTATTTTTTATACGTAATTTACATATGCCTATCAACATAATGTTTCATAAAAAGCTTTGTTCTTTGTAGTAATTTTTTTATTTACGTTAGCTTTTTAATCAGTGAAAAATATGCTACAAAATAATATCGGAAGTAATATGAAATTTATTATAATCTAATTGAAACGCTTTTTTTTTTAAATCTTCGTAATTTTGTTTTGAAATATATTTCTAAACGGAGCATGCTTTTAACAGGTGGTACTTAAGTCGTAAAAGTTACTGCAGAAAGTTTACCTCAGAACTCCCGCGTTTCAACGAAGTTTATCATTACCAGGCTGCAAAGTGCGGAATTATCACCTGCGTTAAAACTTCATTCCCCGCAATGCGAACAATAAGTCGCGCGGATTTCACCGTTGAATTCAGACTATTAGGAACACTAATCAACGTCAAGTCCGACGGAACGGCGGATCGTGAAGAAATGGTAGCTGAGAGCATGATGTACGTCCGATTGCGTAAATCTCGTTCTACTCCTCCAAAGAGAAACGAAATTAGCATTGACTTAACTTAAACTACTTAAGAGAAAGCAGAAGCGCGCGCCTACCAGCATCCCCTTATATGGGAAACTTCATAGTTAGATTAACTCGTACGGCAAAGTAAGTTACAGCACGTGACGCATCCATTTTCCTGCAAGCTTTTTTCCTCTTATCTCGCTCCTCTCATCTTCGCGGTTTAAACGCGACTCGCCAGCTAGTCACGCCGTCGCTCGCGTCAGCCGTGCGCTTTATAAGATTTATGCGGAAATGATATTACACGAGAGAGTGTGTTACACAAGACTAAAGGGGAACTGCGCTTGTCGGGCGGTTAATAGCCGAGGCAATAGGTATTTGCACGTGTATATAATTTATAAGCGTATTAATTCACATGCTCTCTCTCTAAACCATTCGTTTTTAATTCTATATCTATATTCGATTACGTTCCACTTGTACAATTTTGCACATAACAATGTTTGCAGTATTATATCGAATTGCTTGATAAATCAAAATAATATCGCACCGCATTTCTTATTAATTATTATTATCCATTCGTTTCTTTTTTTTTAAATCGTTTCGCGAGATAAAAACAAATCAGTATTTTTATGACATGTTCTCGATATTGCTGTTTCTATAAACTAAGGTCACAATGAATATTTATGATTTAGTTTCTTCATTTTTTTTGCGAAAGAGCCTCCCGTATCGAGGAATCTATTTTATGATATGATATTTTTTACGGAGATTTTTTTCTGCGATCAAAATACTCAGTCAACACACGTAGTTGCTATTCGGGTTTAAAGTCGGCAATGTACTCTGTTGGAGTTGTATTGCCGGTTCAATCTTTGTACCGTAAATATAGATTAGTTTAAGCGGGACGTGGGATCGATCGTTCGTAGCCGAGCTAATAGGTTTTCAGTCGGAGGGAAGGTCTACTAGTCTCTGCTAGAGTCTGCTTAATTAACCGCGCCAGCTATTTTCTCTTCTACCTGTTCGTTTCTTCCGATGAAGAGAGTGTGCAATATAATCGAGGAAACGATGCGCTTTGCGCCGATTCGAAACGATTGGAAACGATGATAGAATTCGATATTTTAATGTAGAAATCTTTGAAATACATCTCGTATATATATATAACGCTCTACATTGTTTCATAAAGTGTTATGTATTTGACAATTTTAATTTATAAAATATGAAATATAAATAATAAAATAAATTTATAATTTATAATTTAGAAATAAAATGCAGTGAGAGAGAAAGAGAGAGAGAGAACTTAATTTGTAATTAATATTTAAAACATAATTAACATATAAAATAAAAAGCACAAAAAAAATCGTTACTCATACTAATTCTATATGTATTGTTTGTACTATTTAAATTACTTTTAAAGAATATTTGAGTAATCTCGTGATAAAATGTTTAAAAATATAAATATAATCTTAAACAAAAAAGCGTTAAATTTTAAATCATCGAGCTATAAACGATGATTTAAACCATTGATATTGAACACTTGGTAGACTAGAATTTATGAACCACATTCAAATATAAAATATCGGATTTCCCATTCAATCACCTTGTTCATTTTACAGATTTATTTCAACCAATTTTCACGTTGCTTTATTTCTACGAATTTATTAGCATTTATCGTAACATTTATTTTTACAATTGTACAAACACGTGACAATTTCTAATTTATATTCTGGCTTATAAGCTCGATTATTAATATATCAAAGCGATTGGTCCAATCATGTAAAACATAAATTTAACCGCGTTATTTTCTCCTCGTCATTCCCTTAAAGTCGAGTAAAATAAAAATTCCGAGCGCGTCGCAAAAATGGAGCGGTGGAGAACACACATAGATCTTCTCAGAGAGAGACTTGGGGGTTCAACTATTTATAACGCACCCTGTACACGGCTCGTTTGCCCGAAATGACGGATTTGCGACTGCCCGGTTTTATTCGAGTTCACCTCGTTTTTGAGTATCGCTTAACTTCCTGCTCATGTGGGTGATGTAAGTACCAAACTGGGACGTATTGATACACGTACGCACGCGTGCATGTGTATACGAAAAGATATATGTGAGTGATATATGTGCGCTTACGTTTAAGGGCGCTGCTTTAACCGAAGAGGGAGTGGAATGCGACTATCGGTCGGGAAAAAGAAAGAACGTGAGAGGGAGGAGAGAAGAAGGAGCAGCCGAGAGCGAATCGTTTTAAACTACCATCCACTTCACATTCCCGATTTCAGTTAGAGGCTTGTTTAT